AGAGAGAGAGAGAGAGAGAGAGAGAGAGAGAGAGAGAGAGAGAGAGAGAGAGAGATCAACGCTGACAAGACATGTTGTTGTAACTGGATAAGGAAGCGTGATCAGTGATGAAGCCCGAGTCGTATCGGTTCCGGGAAAATATACTCATGAATAATCAATTCTCGGAAGTTCTTATTACATCCCGAGACTGAAAACCGCTTTAAGAACGAGAAATATTTCAAACCGCGGGCAAATTGTAGCGACGAGAGCTCTGTATTTTAGGTTTGCGGTCACCAGCCTTTAACTTAGAAGCGATTTTGTCCTTCGTGACCCCCTCGAACAATGTCAATTTCAATGTAAATTACAATGTATGTACGATGTAGATTACAGTGAAGAACGCGTGTCTGACTACTGTCTGTGTTTTTCTTGTAAACTGGTATGTTGTTTGTGGTGTATAAGACACTTCCGGGGGGTGGGGGGTGTCTCCTTGTGCGCGTTGTTCACGTGAAAACACGCACATTTATAATTGTCATTCGTATATTCATAGCATTTTCATAAATATGCAGATGACTATTAGATGACGCGTGCTGAAATGTTTGTTTATGTGATTGTTAGCAGACAATGTCTCCCGTCTGCCATCATCTCAGCTTAAGTCATTATCTCATTAATCTCATTAATCTCATTAATCTAATTAATTAAGTCAATATCTCACTCGTATATTTTGTCGTTTTTTACGCACCTCTACTTCTATTCACATTTTACTTCATTATTTTGTATCGTTTATTATTTATTTATATAGTTGGATACTACACTTGTACACACACCTGCTGTGTACACTGATCTCTCACCACTACCCTACAGGTCGCTCTGGCCATAGAGGGCCATACTGAAGGATTTGTAGTCGAGGGCTCCTGGTGGTACATCCGGCTCCGGACCCTGGTAGGGAAGCATGCGCTCGAGAATGTAATCAGCTTGCTCAGGCTGGATCTCCAGACGCAGCTCCTCTTCCGTGATATAGGGCTGTGCAGACAACGCAAACGTGTGGTCAGCAATAGGAACATAGAAACACAGACGATTATACTAATGCAGAATCGACATATCTGCCTTGTGTGACTGGCAGACCACACTAGGCACATGGCATGTTGCTAGGTCAACATGATGAGTTTTGCAAGGCGGCCTCAACACAGATGTCTCCACCATCGAGTCTTCCTACACTGCCCACCACTTCCACATTTCTGATTCTGCTATAGTTCTGTGTGGTTAAAATCATCCTGACTTCATCAATGCCTTTCTCAGTACAGTGTGATAAAGCAGCCACATCAGAACAGCAACCTAGTACCATATAAACCCGTCTAGTTTCATTTTTATGCTGCTCACCCGATCTCCTGCTAGCACTCTGAACGACTCAATGATTTGGTCAGCCGTGTCCTTGTCCTGGTTCTCTCGTGTCATGTAGTCCAAGAAGGCATCGTACATTACGTAGCCGGTGCAGCTTGGGTCAACTATCGACATGATCCTTCTGAAGTCAGCATCTCCCTGCAGGAAGTGTGAAAACACATGTAGCGTCTAGGCCCGGCACCAGATGTACGAGCTTGGAATATTGTAGCAGCTTTAATTTCATTTTTTTAATTTTTATTATTTTATTTATTTATTTTCAATACAATTTTCGTATCGTAACACGAGTTACAGGTTTTACCGTAGTCCTACAAATGGTTTTAGCTCAACTATTTCGCCGATAACGGCCTGCTGTGTTAAGAGAAGCATGCCGCCCCTACCTGCGCATCCTCACGTAGATTGTAGCCTAGACTGAGCAGGCAGGCCTTGAACTCGTTCGGTTCAAGCCGCTGTGACTTGTTCTTGTCAAAGTGGTTGAACGAGATGCGATACTCTTTCATCTGTTCCTCACTAATGCCCTTGGAGTCACGCAGAAGGATCTACACAAGCAGGACATGTTCAAGTGATTAGCTTAGAAAAAATCCTAGTTTCATACATATATTCAGCTAACCACAATTGGTCTAGTGAGGAACACACAATAATTTTGCTCTTATCTAATAGTTTTCCCCATCTCGTCCCCTCTTCCTCTCTATCAATCGCTTTTACCCCCTCTCTTTCTACCTCTCCCCCTCTCTCCCTCGTCTTATCTCCTTCTCCCTCTTTCCCTCTCCCGTTGTCTCCCGCATCGCTGGCTGTATAGTCGGTTTCTGTTTTTCGAAACAAGTGTGCTTCCGCCTCGCCACGCGTTTCCCATCCAGCCCCTTACTCGCAAACTCTTAACATTCTCGACTAGTGCGACCTCACTGCTCGCGCCTGGCGGCGTACGGCGGCTGCGGGGGGGGGGGCGGAGGCAAATTGAGGCCGTCACGCGGCGATGGTCTGAGAAAGACTATAGCGGATTTATCGCGCAAGCAGACACGAGATGAATGAGGGACGCGTGGGTGTGACGACTACAGCTGCTGCTGCTGTTGCTGTTGCTGGTGGTGGTGGTGGTGGTGGTTGTGGTGGTAATGGTGGTGGTGGTGGTGCTGCTGCTGCGGCTGCTGCGGCTGCTGCTGCTGGTGTTGGTGCTGCTACTGCCACCGCTGCTGCTGCTGGTGGTGGTTGTGGTGGTGCTGATGGTGGTGGTTGTGGTGGTGATGGCGGTGGTGGTAATGGTGGTGCTACTGCTACTGCTATTGCTGCTGCTGCTGCTGCTGCTGCTGCTGCTGCTGCTACTGTTGCTCGTGCAGGTGCTGGTGCTGCTGCTGCTGCTGTTGGTTATGGTTGTGGTGGGGATGCTACTGTTTCTCCTGGTGGTGGCGATGGTGCTGCTGCTGGTGGTGGTGATGGTGCTGCTGGTGGTGGTTGTGGTGCTGCTGCTTCTACTGTTGCTCGTGGTAGTGTTGGTGCTGGTGCTGGTGCTGTTGTTGTTGTTGTTGTTGTTGTTGTTGTTGTTGTTGTTGTTGTTGTTGTTGCTATTGCTACTGCAGTTGCTGCCGCTGCTGCTGCTGCTGCCGCTGCTGCCCCTAAGTCTACACGCTCGTTAGCGCCTAGCACACATCCTCAGGCGAGCGTTCGAACAGCTTAGCTGATGCTCTAGAAAGAGAGAGAGAGAGAGCGCGCGAGAGAGCGCGAGAGAGCGAGAGAGAGAGAGAGCGAGAGAGAGAGAGCGCGAGAGAGAGAGAGCGCGAGAGAGATATGTAAATAGATAGATAGAGAGCGAGAGAGCGAGAAAGAGAGAAGGAAAGAGCGAGATAATAGAGACAACAGAGCAATAGAGGCAGCCAATATTAATATCTAATAGGACAAACTGTTTATTTCATCATCTAATAGGACAAACTGTTTATTTCATCATCAAACATGAATATGTTCATAATAATGAAAACCTCACTCCATGGCAATGTTTGCTAACTATCGTGGTCACTGCAATGGCTATCTTGATTTTTGCTTGTGGTAAATGCTGCTGATAGATGGGGGTAACGATTTTGCCGTACCTGGTTTTCAATTTCACTTATGCTTTTGGGAACGGATGTCATCAGCTGTTCCCACCCAACGCGTAGTGTCTGCAAGAGAAGTTCTGCATGAGAAAACTACGTGTGAAACCAAATGATTTCACGACACCGATAATATTTGCATGAAAATTAAACAATTGTATACATCTCTAAACCTCCCCGGCTATGCCATATCAAAGCCCTGCTCGTGGTGATGGGAGTGGGGTTATAAACGTGAATGGGGTAGTGTGTTAGTGGGGTTGTGGTGGGGAGGTGGGAGTCCTGGTAGGTGGAGGGCACAGACGTTGGTGGTGGGCTGGTCTGGTCCAGCTTGGCCCTTTTCTTGCCAAGCTTTGCCCCCAAAAGATTGTAGGAACTTGAAGATTACGGAAATAAAGAATCGTTTCGGAATAAACTAAAAATCTACTTGTAAAATGAGTACAAATTACAATGCTATATTATACTGCAGATGCTAAAAATAGTACTCAATTGTGCTGAAATTATTAACACTGTCATTGGCTTTAGACAGCTGGACATACGCAGTACACGACATATATAACAGACTACAGCTGCGAGTGCTGGGATTATACATGCAATAACTGCACTGTGAACGAGAGGTGCCCTTGGCATTAATAGTTGTACAGCTAGCATGATCATAAGCAGTAGCGCATACACTGTCCACACGTGTTCAAGTGCTATCACAGTATTAAACGAGTCACCCATACCCCTGCTGGTGTTAAGCACAGTCTGAGAGGCATGTCTGTTTCTATTCGATCCTAATAATTTCGGATTCAAAACAGCAGAGTACTATTCCCAGGCAAGACGGTAGCATTACGTGTTTAGTACTGTATTATATTTATTCAGGTGTCTGATTCAGATAGGTATAAGATGACCTGAATGTAGATAAATTCACAATAAATCATCGGCTGAGAGTTTATATACCATGAATGCACTAGAGATCGTATCCTCATGTTATTCTATTGCACCAATACGTATTCCAACATTATTGCGTGACACAGCGCTTGGATGTAGAACTTGGCATTAGTGCTTAGGTTAACTAAGACATACCTCCATTGTATATTCTGTGTATGTATTTTCAAAGATAAGTGCTTCCTGTACTTCCTAAAAAATAAAATTACACAAGTCAAGAAATGGAGAAATAAATCTTGATAGCTAATACGACATTACAGTAGGTCTTTCTAGTATTACATTAATTATACAACTATAAATTACACTTAACATTATATACAGTGTGTGTGCGTGCATGCGTGCGTGCGTGTGTTCATGCCTGCATGCACGTGCAGGTGTATGCATGGGTGTTTATTTCTTGAAACTGACAAAATAGTCTGTCTAAGTCTTTACTCACAGGGGTCACAAAATGTTGCCCGGCCTCCATATAGAAATCTGCCTCTATAGTACTATTCAACGAAACCTAGAGGTATAATATTCGGGCACCACTTGACATTTTCCACACATTATATGTGCTAATCAATGCACGCCTTTACAACACGAGGTATGTTAGTATACTGATGCACATTCAATCTAAAAATTAGTCTATGAGGTTTTGTTCCAGGGTTTTTACTAATAACTCCCTAAAAAACTGTGTTCCCGCCTACTTGGTTATATACTTGGTATTTGGGCACTACAACTCGATATTTTACACAAGATATATGCGCTAATCGATACAAATTAAAAATTATAAGTTTATAAGTTTAAATTATAATGATACTCTCATCATTACCACGACCACTTTGATGTTAGCTATTAGATCACTGATATATAGCTTACTGACACTGAACCCGAGGATTGCATTAACAATTATTTTGTATACAACTTTCATTAAATACTAAAATATAATGATTTATATATAGGTGTTCACACGCCTACTTGATATACTTGATTCTCGCTTGCTTAGTACGATACTCGGTGTTTTCGCTTACTTGGTTCATCTGCTCCAGCTCGTCGAACTGCGGCTTGTACTCCTGTATGGACGTGCCGTATGACTTCACCTTGGTCATCTGCTGCTCGAGCGTCGCGTTGCACTCTAGTCCCATGTTCGCCACCGCGTCCATCTGGCTCTCGATCCAGCGTCCGACCGTGTTCGCTTTCTCGGCAAAACTCCGCCGCAGCTGCTCGTTGCCTGCAACCCTCGCGGTCAAGGTCATCAAAGGTCGCTACTGCGCGCAGCTTATCGTGTGTGTTATTTGTTTCCATATAACGAACTCGAAGTCAGGCAGCAGCCACATCTACGTCTAAAGTGGTGGTGCATTGTCTTTTGAAACATAGCTAAAGTTATAGTTACGTTACGATACTAACAACGACCAAGTCGCAAAATAGTAGCTCATTGCTAACATGGCATAAACTGCTATTCTGAATCCCACAAGAATAATCCAGTGGAATGACACCCCCTAGTTCTATCCAAGGCAGCATACGGTGTAGATGCCCAACCAGGAAAAGATTGTGGGTTAATACACTTGCACAGTTTATAGGTAAGTGTCTGCAGCGTGACAGAGCATTGTCAAATAAGGAACACAGATCTTGCTGCCTGTACTACCTGCACCATCCATCTGTCCATGGTACTAGCATACCCTTCCATATAACATGTATAACACCAACATGAATCACAGGCACTTAAGATGAGGGCAGCCACACACAACCAGTACTTGAAAAGGATACACTGTTGCTTTTCAAGTTCTTCATGCAGCACTGCATCCCTCTCTGGTATTTGCTTCTTTACCATATCCCAAAGTGCACCTAGGTGCTGAAATCAAGAAAGCACTATTCTCATTACCACTACCTTGTAAATTGGTGCACACATGCTATGATACACATAGGTAATTATACACACGTGTACACACACGCACGCATGCACACACAATCATAACAATATATACGCACGCATTCACGCATAGACATGTACACTCACAGTGATTTTGTGGTTAAACTAATGTAGTTAACCATCAGGTTATATAAACCGAGCATGCTACAAAAAACATTTCTATTGTTCTCAGTATAAATTCCTAATGCCGGAAGGTTCCTACCTCAGGACTAATGTTCGTGTATGGGTTCTCTGTTGCACCTGGAATATTGTACTGCTGTACCAATTCTTCAACTTGGTCGGATAATCCTAGAAGTGAGCTGTACTCTTTGTCAGCCTCCCCCAACGTCATCTTGAACTGACCATGGGCATCTATCAGATCCTGTGGGAAAGATTTCAGGTTGCTACATTCCAACAATTTCCAAACAAATTTCCAACAATTCACGTCAGCATACAACAGCAAGTACAGCTAAACAAAGTTCCACATCTTCTTCAGTTTCGTCATTTTTGCGTGACGAACAATGCAACACTATAACCTCCATAGTTGTCATGCAGCTGCAACTACACAGAACAACACCCTCACCTACAAACGCCACCGCATTACTTATTACAGTAGGCAGGATCGAACAGCGGATACAAACTGAAACTGCCAAGCATGCCAAGCATGTGCAGTGACAATGTGAATACTGTAATGTATTTGCTATATCGCAATATCAGCATAGGAATCAGATCAGCTTATATGTTTAGGATACTGTATTTTGCCTCCCACCTATCGAGAAAGGAAGTAATGAAACAAAGTTTCCGGGGGAGTCAGTTTTCCATGTTGGAAAATCTTAATCTGTTTAATCCTTTACCTTTATATATATATATATACATATCCTTTTATCCTTTAATTATTTAGAAATACCATAACATCAGCGTAGATAATAGGAAAGGAGTGTGACTTCAATAAACAAAGGAAATTCGTCATTTACTAGCCTAGAATACCTACGATTTACTACGGCGTAACTTAACCACTTGAGCTCAAATTGTACACAGTACATTCGCCTAGCATCATGCGAAATCGTTTCTTCATATACACCCGCAATCCGGAGTTACAGACTAAACGGTACGACACGATTTTTTATTCTGTTGCCAGCAAATTCGATGTGTTGATCGCCTAGCTTGAAACAAAAGGCAGCTGTAAATAGGTCAAAGGTTAGCTCAGCGAGCCACACCGCATTGCCGAGGGCGCAAGTCGTTAGTAGCTGCCTTTTGTTTCAAGTTAGGCGGATAACACATCGAGTTTGCTGGCAACAGAATGGAAAATCGTGTTGTACGTTTTAGTCTGTATCTCCGGATTGTGGGTGTATATGAGGAAACGATTTTGCACGATGCTAGGCGAATGTACTGTGTACGATTTGAGCTCAAGTTGGTTGAGTTACGCGTAGTAAATCGTAGGTATTCTAAGGCTAGTAAATGACGAATTTCCCTTGTTTATTGAAGTCACACTCCTTCCCTACTATCTACTTCTGATAACATGGAACAGACATCGAATCACCTGAATCTCTCCGATGTTGTGGACGATGAAGACGTCATTAAGGTCATCACGAGCACCGTCCATCCAGTTGTTGAATGGTGCTGCGCGCTTCGCAAACTCCAGATGCAGCTGGTCCACGGCCTCCAGCATCTGTTCAGCTTCCTGCAAATCAGGCATTAGCAAACTTCTATTGTGAAGCCCACAAAAACAATCCAGTGGAATGACACCCCATAGTTCTATCCCGGGTAGCACACGGTGTAGATGCCCAACCAGGAAAAGGTTGTGGGTTACCACATTCTCAAGGCTTATAGGTAGGTGTCTGCAGCGTGACAGAGCATTGTGCACATATTTTAGTAGATCAGCATCGAAGAACGCGCTTATGACGATCTCACAGATCCCATTACGACTTCATAGATTACACTAGCACGTCATGTTACCCCTTAGGCTTAGATACAAATATCTCGAAAAAATGGCCTAAATGTTTTCGGGAATTCTCCAAAAAATCTCTAAATATTTCAATTTTTTTTCTAAATATCCCAAAGATTTTTTTTAAATATCTCAGTTATTTCAACGTAATGTCTTTTAAACATATTTATTGTGTGCGAAAAAATCATACGCTGTTTACGAATCTCCATTCGCTGGATTTCCCCAGAGTCCGCCACTTAAAAATAGTGCTAGCATTGTGGCAGTGGTATCCTGAGTGTACGAAGGGGCACTGCATGCAGTTTGCCACCGCTGGATTGGTTTTTCTTAACAGAAAAGGACAAACGCATCCTTACAAATCCTTAATATTTGAGAAGATTGTGTTTTATCTTCTAAATATTAAGGAATTTTCTAAATATCCAGATTTTTCTAAATATCCCAAAAACTTCTAAATATCTCCAAAAATATCCGGATATTTGTATCTAAGCCTATTACCCCTCCAGGGATTGAAGAACCTCAGTATAATCAACAAGTGCCGCAGAGCGACAGCGCTCATCTAACGTCTACTGCGGTGACTCTGTGGTGGAGTGGTGGGATTCAGTAAACCCTGTTAGTCCCAAATGTGTTCACATACACGCCGAAACAGTGGAATGCACAGGGATGGTATCAGGAACCTTCTCAAAAGAATGTTCGTTGGGATCGTTATGAAAGTTGCCACGAGATGGCGCGTACGTTTAAGTGTCTTCAGATTAAAGATGGAAGCTCCCATCATACGTAGTAGCAACAACTATTTGCAAGACAGAGATAGGTAAGCACTCATCATTTACCTACGCAAGCCTACAGGCTGCAAATTGCAATAGAGAGCTGCCACCTGTAAGCAATTAACGCAGGCAAAAACTGCACACAACACATGCACTGGCAGCAGCGCACTGGCAGTGGCATACGTTACATGTAACATACTGACAGTACAAGAATGACATAGAAATTATACGATTTAAGGAACATACACCTTCTTTAACCAAATTTAGCTTTTGAAATTTCACTGTGACATTGTAGCCTCATACATCCAGGCATGTATAGATTCTACTAGCAAACCCGGCAGTCAAATTCTTTCTAACAGACAGTCAACAAATCCAAGTTTAAACCCTCCTCTTGAGGGTCAAAAGGTTATCCGACACTTACTCTTCGCATGTCAGCAGAAGGGACATTTCATGTCTTTCAATAAAGACCATAAAAATACTAGGTCACCGCTGAAACAAAAAAAGTTTTTCAATCGCTCCGTCAGACCATGTCCTCAGAAAATGTCTAAAATCTGCCCTGTGCCCACTGACCTTTGACCTATGACCTCAATTTCGGCAGCAGTGATGGCTTTTCCTACATGATGCTATACACACGACTATCACGAGCCTAGGTCGAGCCGTTTAGATTTGTGCCGCAATTCTGCATTTCCTCCTATACCTTAAAGGCTCACAATGCGCATCCAAACGCTAATTTCTCCAGTACTAGACTAGCAATACTTCGTGTCATGCATAATCACACTACCTTATGACAAATAAACTCTAGTTGCTCCCATTTCACTGCGCGTTTGCTTAAAACCCACAAGAAAGAGGTGAGAAAACTGGCATTCTGGCCGCAAACGCCGACTGTTTTGCAAACAAAATAGCCTCGAAGTGGTGACGTGACGTCACATGTTTTTATCTTTGCTGCGCGCCGTACCGCTGTACCGCAGCACCGCTGCACGGTTGCTTGGGGATTGGGGAAACTGTCAACAACATCGGAGAATCAACAACATTGGAGGTATTTTCAAAATACCTTTTATAAGACAACCGCACAGTGAAATGGGAGGAACTAGAGTTTATTTTGCCATATAGACGAGGCAGGATTTAGAAAAATATTCTATGTTGAGTCAAACAAATTGCAAAGTTTGTTTTATTGTTGATTATTGTTTATTAGGTAGTTCTTCGTGACATATCCAAAAATGGAACACAGGTTTCAACTCAGAAGTTGCCTAATTTGCATATTTAAAAATGGCTGCTATTCTCAAATTTTGAGGTTAAATTATCTCTAAAAATATTCATTTTGAGTTCAGTAACTGTATTAGAGGTTAATAGATATATGACCCAATGAAACTAAGAAGCATATTAGAAGCCCACATGACCTCTCTGATAACTAGGTCGAAGGTCCAGATGTCGAAAATACGTCAAAATGACATTTTTTAAACCAAGACATCATCAAGAACTACTTAATTACAAGAAACAACAATGAAACAAACTGATGCAAATTGTTTGACTCAACGGGACAATTTTTCTGAATATTGTCATCACAGTCAACACATATGCCTAGCGGGAAGGCGATATGCAAGAGCAGTCAGGGGCCACTTTTTGGTGATGGCGCTTTTAACGCAGTTCTTTTGAAAAAGATATCAACAGAAGAAGCCAACGAACAGTAGTGGCCCATGCTCTGCAGATGTTGATGAGGTTTTCGGCGATGAAACACATGTATCTGCAACAAATGATGATGTATACTCAAGCACTCAATACGCTTTTCCAGAAAGCGAAGCTTGGCATATCTGCAACACAACAGGGAAGTTATGGCTGCAGTATATAAAAACAATTGATCTTCTGAGATCTGACCTGAAGCTAACGCACTGGCAACTTCATATTTCACCTGAAGTCCTTGAAGGAAATGCTACCAATACTTTGCAGCAAGTGGGCACAACAGTTATGCTAAGTCCGTCCATCTGTTCCTGCAGGACATGCTGAACCTAGAGGAAAGAAACCTGGTGTTTTTCAAGGGATCATGGGTGGAAATAGGTTTTCAGACGTAGCTTCAGATCTGGGGTGCTTTGGCAACGGATCTGATCATTTGAGCAGGTTTTAATGAAGTCTCTAAAGAGCAAGGTGGAATCACGCGTGGACGAGGGATGACGAGACGCAACGGACAAGGTGGCTGCTGACGATGCCTGATTATGCACAGATAACAACCGAGATGGAGAAGCTTAGTAGGTACAAGAACACGACCAGTGAACTCAGTCAAGTGCAATATAAAGGCGAGATATGGCAGATACGGCAATCATTTTTGAATACCTTGAAAGCCATGACCCTGTCAAAAAGAGCGATTACTTGTATGACATATCAACAGGCATTGCCTCAAGTGTGTCCAACGCTCACATGGCTGAAAAATAGGCAAGTCCATCATTACCAGCATGGAAAGCGAGCAGGTTACAAAATATGTCTTCAGAAAAAAGAACCAAGTCAAAGTGATGGAGCGAAGGGTGATTTCCGATGGAGAGGAATTGGTTGTCGATCCGCAGCTGCTCTTTCAGAGACTCCTGATCATCAGCATATAACACTGATATCGATCTAAATGAGGTTTTTCAGATACGAGCTGTCGCTTTATCCACCATCCCTCTTTACAAAGCATGGCCTACCATAAACGCTCTTACAAAAACCAAAACTTGCGGATTAGATCTAGCTAGCTTGCGGACTAGATGCTATTTCTAAACTCTGCAGAGACACACAAGACTTTAATATTCTAGAAGCAGAATGCAATGTTCTAGATGGTGGTTCTCTTCTAACAGCGTTTGCCATGGTCAAAGGGGATATGTATAGACAAATAATCAACCCATATATACGTGTGGTGCAAAGTATGCCACCCAATAGTTGTGTATGATGGCTACTCACAGGAAACAATCAAGACAGTGACACACCAACGACGTGCAGCGTGGTCAATCGTCAGCAAAAGTAAAACTAGCGCTTGACTTACCATTGAAGATAGACAAGAAGACATTCCTGATGAACAAATCAAACAAACAAGAGTTAATCAACATGCTATCTGATGAGATGAGGAAACAGGACATCGAAACCATTCATGCAGAAGACGACGCCGATTTGTTGATTGTCCAGACAGCCGTGAACATGGCCGTGTACAAGACGACATTTGTCATTGCAGAGGATACTGACATCCTTGTGCTCTTGTGCCACCACCATAAACCAGGTACCGAGCTTGTTCATGAAGTCAGAGAAGAGTGCAATTAAGAGACCACTGGTGGAACATCCAGACGACATGTGCAATTTTAGGAAGCCGGCTATGCACATACCTACATTTCTTACATGCTCTATGTGGGTGCCAATACCACATCTGGACTCCATGGGATCGGCAAAGGTTTGTGTGCTAGGGGCTAAGAAATCGGACGAACTAATGCAGATAGGTGACATGCTTCATGTCAAGTTCATCTAGCCATGAATGAAATCAGAGATGCTGGGGCCAAAGCATTAGTATGTGTGCATGGTGGACAAGGTACCACTTTGAATAGTCTACGTAGAAAGATGTTTGGTGACAAAGTTGTGAAGAGCCTCTAGAGTGTCGACATAAAAGGGTTGCCACCGACAGAAAGATCTGCCAAGTCTATTCTTATAGAGTTTTCCTACAGACTCAAGTATGGATAGGAAACATAGCAATAAAACCGAAAGATTGGGGTTGGAATAGCCAATGTGAAAGTTTGATGCCCGAGAGAATGGACAACAACCCAGCTCCTGATGCGCTATTGAAGATAATACGTTGCAAATGTAAGGAGTATTGTGACACAATGATATGTTTGTGCAAGAAGAACGGGATGTTCTGTAATGAAGCCTGTGGAAAGTGTCAAGACGGACTTTGTACAAACATACCATTGGATATGTATGAGTACTATAATGCACAGTATGTATCCAAAAGATTAATGTAAATATATCAGTGTGTGCTATATAATTATTTGCAATTGAACGGTGGTTTTCATACTTCATTAAATGCTTGTAATTTTCCTTGTTTTGGTTTAAAAAATGTGTCTATTGACATACTTTTGACATATTTGAACCTAGCTGTTCAGAAAGGTTATTTGGGCTTTTAAATATGTATTTTAAATTCATTGGCCATGTTTCTATTCACCTATAATAGCGTTATTAGGCTGAAAATGAATAGTTTGAGAGAATAATTGACCTCCAATCTGAAAATGACGGCCATTTTTAAATATGCAAATTAGGTAACTTATGAGTTGAAACTTGTGTCCCATTTTGGATATGTCATCAAAGAAGTACCTAATAAACAAGAATCAATAATAAAACAAACTTTGCATATTTGTTTGACTGAAAAGTCCAAATCTGCTCGTCTAATAAGGTAGTATGATTATGCATGACAAGAAGTATTTGCTAGTTCTAGTACTGGAGAAATTAGCGTTTGGATGCGCATTGTGAGCCTTTAACTTAAGGAGTGAATGTTCCCCTTCTTTTACACCTCTTGACTTTGACCTTTGACCCCCAGCTTCGACATCCCAACTCGTTTTCGGATTACCCCCCACTTCCGAATATCGTGACGTACGTCGAGCGGTTAAGATTTGTGCCCAACTGTTGACGCCCGGACGGACGGACGGACGGACGCACGGACGATCATGCGATTCTACAAGCTGCATCTGACTATGTCAGATGAGCTAAAAATAGAACAATTTCTGCTGGAAACCACATGTTACGTTGTTTACTATATTTTAAAAAGCTCAAGGACCACTTGTGGAAAGATTTATTACAGTTACTCATTTACAGTGTTATATTACTATCGAGCATTACAGAGTGACATACCTCCAGAGCTTGTCTTCTCTCCTGTGACTGTGCTCCCAAGTCTACCCAGCCATCACATATTTCCTAAATTAAAAAGTTATATTATGAGCACTTCCCCGGAAGCAGCAATTAACTTAATCTGATCAGCAATTAACATCAGCTTGTATAAAATATCAGTACTCCACAATCACATTTTGAAGTTAGATATTTAACCTCCTTTTCACAATCACGCATTTTTTGATTTTTTAATGGAAAGACTGAATAAGAGACTAGCAAACATTAAATTCTTCTACTCACTACTGGTGTATTTATTTACAAATTTATGCGACTTCATATTCTTACCTTACACCGATCATTAATCGCTGGAGCATCATAGTAACCTAGAGAACTGAGCAAACAAAATAAAATAGTAAGACATAGCATGACAAAGATGTGTGCGTGCGTGTGTGCGTGCGCGTGCATGCGTGCGCGTGCGTGGATGCGCGTGCTTGCATGCATGCATGTGCTGATGTATCAACATTCATGATATATGATGCACCTCAAATGTCTACTAATCTATGCTAGGCCAGTTACGCAGATGTTTACCATTTTCACCGACCGAATGTTTCTTTCTGTCAACTAATTTACGAAGAAAAATGTGTTGCCTACTCTTAAATGTTAGTGTTACAAGACTTGTTATCACAGAGAAAGCAATATAGCAAAAAATCATCATCATTTCATCAATACACACTCTGATACAGACAAACGCACGCACGCACGCACGCACGCACGCACGCACGCACGCACGCACGCGCACACACACGCGCACACACACACACACACACACACACACAAATACATACACACATCTGTGTATGGCCTAGAATATAAAAGATAATTAACCCACTTCAGTTCATTGGCGATAGCAGTGATTTGTTCAACCCGCTCCTGATGCGCCCCAACCTCGCTTTCAAATGCCTCGTGTTTTTTCTTGTGTGCCTGTAAACAAGAACCAGACATTGCAACCACAGTGTCTGCACACATCATAACTAGGATTCGAAATTAACAGGTGCAAGGACGCACCAAGGCCCTAAACATTTAGCCGTACACCCAGTAGCACTACATCAGTGCAGGGTCTCCAACCCTGTGAACTCCAAATACGGAATACGGCGGTGATGAGTAGCGGTAGTGAGTAGTGGTAGGGTGGTGACTAGTGGCGTATTCAGAAATTGATGGACAGGGGGGAGGGGGGCGAAATGTACCTTGGCTGCTGCAGGCAGGCCCACGTGCCATAGGTATGCCAGTGCTAGGGGGGTCTGAGGGCATGCCCCCCCCCAGAAAATTTTGAATTATTTAAGCCATTTTCCTGCAATCTGCAGCATATTGTGGGCCATATTCTCATGTCTGATGACACTATCTCAACCCTAGACTCAACCCTACAAGTTAGGATTCAAAACACTTTTCATTCCTCCGTGCCCCATTTGCAGTCTGTCTTACATACCATGCAATAGCCATGATTAACACTGAGTTTTGACTTCACAAGTACAGGACACATTTGTGTATATTCGTTCCTGAATTTCTGTAAAATTCGGGGTTTTTTGATTGGCAATGTGGACGCCATTCTCCCCACGTGTTAATCTGATTAGCAGACAAACTACGCGACACCTTGCAGACAGCGCCTGTCTGACTAGGCTGTTCCATTTACCGTAGACATGCCAGATATAAAATGCATAGAAACACATTATAACACTGAGCGATGGTAGAGGGGGGGGCGGGTGCAAAGCTAAAGTAATGGCAGAGAGCACTATGAGTGTGTATTTCCAGGAAACGACTTGGGCAGTGATATGAGGGCTATTAATAAACTTGCTGCATCTCCACTGCACCATGCGTGGCCAGTGCTCAGGCACCAGCTGAAAAAAAACCAATGTGTCCAAGCGAACAATGCGAACAATCAGTGAAAATTTTGCACAGTGCAACTGAAATGAGGAATATAACCTTGCCGCTGCAGAATGTGGAAATTAAACCAAGAAATCGTAATGATTCCGCAGAATGAGGAATGGTTGGAGACCCTGTCAGTGCACCACTAGTGCACCTAAAGAATGTGTGGTGGAATCACTCGAACACAATGTTATAGAGTAAATAAGTAGCAATAGCAAGTAATAATAACATGGTTATGGAATGCTCTTGCAGTGCACACACAAATTGTGACTATGTCCAGTTTTAAAATGTAGGTGCACCAATGTGCACTCGATAGAAAAGTTCATTTTAACGTCGGTGATGCAGCACTGCTACATGGATCACAGTTTAAGAATTGCATCATATTCAGGAGTTATTTTTCAGGCTTTTCATTCAGGCTAGTTCAGCTACATCAGTACAACTATAAAAGAGAGCAATATACGGCTAACCCATGTCTCAGTCACTCTGCTATATGTGCATCCGGTTTCCAAAAGTTACCCGCACCTTCAAATCCATGAGTTTTGAATTTCTGAACTCTTCGTTTCGCAGGTAGAGAAGCTTTGCATCCGTCCATCGGTCATGGCTCTCACATTTCTGTTTGAACTTTTTAGCCAAATGGTCCATCCGCTCTAGCCTGCAAGCAAACAACAAGATTATAGCAGTAAAACAGAATGCTTACCTGTATTTCCCACCTATTCAGGTGGCATTGTGCATTTCTGAAACCATCAATAATCCAGATCATCATTAACCATAAAGGCGCGTCTCCGTCATTCATTTGTATAAATTATCGAAAATAAAATCTTACTGAAAAAAAGGAATAGAAATATAGTGCTTTCAGAAAAATCCTACTCGCGTGACTTTTAGATAACAATATGTATATGTGTGCATATACATATATATATTATATATATATATATATATTCAACGGCTTATAATACCTAGAGTGTACAACGAAAAACGGGAAAATAGTGCTATTTCACGACACATTATTCTACTTTGCCTGCGAGTCTATAATAATTTCATGTATTAGCATTAAGCAGAATTCTTTTGCTCTCTAAAACAAGACCAACCGCCTTGTCAATACGATACTCCTAGGCGGAGATATGCGGCTCCTAAACCTCCCTCCCACATGCAAACGCCGCTCGAATCCACTTCTGTCCGATCCTTCACGCGTCTAAGCATTTCGGCTATCGGTTTCCGTCACCGGCTTGGAGCGCTGATAATTGATGTCACATGCCCAAATTTGGTACTCTTACTAGCTGCGTTGTAGACTTAATAAAAAACAACATTGCCGGCTCCATCATGACGGGCATTAGCCGTGCTAGGAAAGATAATGGAGATAAGGGCATAGGCGCGATGCCCCCGAAAGTACCTCCACCTGCACTGCACCCGAAAATCATTCATAAAATTATGGCGGAAAACGAAACTCTCACGAAGCAACCTTAGAGGCGTTTAGGTTACGGAATAAGCTGGATGCCAGGCGTGTGAACGCGGCTTAATCTAGCCCGCGCTTAGCGCGGTTTCCAGCTACTCTTATTGACAAGCGGTTGGTCTTGTTTTAGAGAGCAAAGAATTCTGCTTAATGCAATACCATAAAATTATTCTAGACTCGCAGGCAAAGTAGAATAATCATGTCGTGAAATAGCACTATTTTCCCGTTTTTCCGTTGTACACTCTAGGTATTATTAGCTCTTGATATATATATACATATATACATACACATTGTTATCTAAAAGTCACATACTTGAGTTTTAATAACATTGAGATTGTGCATTCAGATAATGACTGCATTTGTTAGTCAGTACACAGATGGGGTGCTCTATTTTCAGTAGTTTTTAGGGAGTTATTAATAAAAACCCTGAAACAAAACCTAATAGACTATTTCTCGTCTTGTCAAACAGATAGTAAAACTATAGATAGAATTATTATTTTAGATACTATGTGTATTAGTGCACTGTCATACCTCATTATTTCTGACAGCAGCCATTCCTCAAAACCTTTCTCTGCCTTCTCCAGTTCTTTCCAAGCAATATTTATGTCCTACATCAACAAAAAATACTGCAGTTGGGATTTAATAGAAATAGAGATCAGTTTGGTCACGCAATTGATCTCCAAGTTATTTTGAAATGAAAAACTTGATAGCAATGAAATATCCATAGTCATGTTCGGAGATCGGTCAAGACATAAATAAAATCCAGGATAATTTTTTCTATTACGTACTAAAGCATCATTTATTGATTGAGCATAGATCGAGTTTTAATGTAGCAAATCGAAACCATAATAAAAACATTAGTTTTGGGCACTAGACGGTTTGCATGCACCAGTAGAGCATGAAACGAAACTCCGAGCGAATGTCTGGGTTATTTCTCTCAATCTACCCGAACACGTAAATAAGTGAGTACAATATGGTGTTTTATCAATGAATGTGTTATCAATATATCATTAGCAAAATTATTTTTGCAGTGCCCCTCTTTTACAACCAGACATTACAAACACTTTGACACACAAAAGGTTGGCTTGCTGCATAGAGCAGAGAATTGTATTGCAGATAATTTCTCTTGCACATGTGTTAGCTTACGCTCAGCAGTTTTCCTGAGGTTGGCATAAACGCCGGCCGGTTGGTTACACGTAGCTTTGTCTGAATATTGTTGAACATTGTTTCCAGATGTGCCTTCTCTTCCAGTTTGGGTGGTTTGTGCTGCCATCTGTAGTTACGAAACTCTGCTTGTTTAGCCTGTAACTCCATCATCGTATTATCCATGGTCCTATCCTCCAGCCAAGGCTTTGTTTGTCTTATCCACTCCAGTAGCTAAAACATAATTGTTAGAAGTTACCATTGGTTTGTGGCATTTTGAAGGGAAATTAGTAGAAGAAAAAAAAAAAAAAATATGGGGAAATAGAAAGGGAGCAAGAGAGAGTTGGGCAAGATGGGGAGAAGGAAAGAGTCTGAGAGCAAGAGAGGGGAATAGGGAGGAGGGGAGAGAAGGAAGGAGGAGAGAGACGGAGAGGGAGAGGGAGAAGGAGGAAAGGGAGAGGGAGAGGGAGGAAAGGGAGAGGGAGAGGGAGAGGGAGAAAAAGAGAGAGAGACAGCAAGAGAGATCGCAAGAAAAGTGGAAGAATGCAAAGGATGTCTTACAACACAGGAAACACGCACGTAAAGTGGGTGAACCGCTATAATAAATAATGAATAATGGCTCATGAATAATAGACTCACCTCGCTTGTGAGTTGTTCGTATTCCTTCATCCGTTCTTCGTTGCCACGGTTGATATCCATAACCCTGCAGATTCTGCTGGCTGCTTGCTCTGCCTACACGCACCAATCCACACACAGTTAACTAGCCAGATGCTTTTACCACAACAAATTCATACAGTCAGCCTGTCTGTGTTAGCGGTGCACTCTATAGAACAGACACCTGTCCATAAAGGGAAATTTCATCTTTAACCTCAACTGACAGTTAAACACTGAAACCACGGGCCCATTGCCAGAAACAAAATTATACTTATGCCAGTTAACATTAGTCTTAACATTGACTTCGACTCGAAGACCGTTAATTGAAAAAAAACATCGCAATACTGAACTAGAGCAGCATTATTAGTTTTTTGCATCGATCTCAATAATGACCAAAATTAAAACCAAAACCCGGAAATCCGCGAAATCGCGGGAAATTCTCATGCCCGATAATGGGCAATTTCGCCTTTAACCTCGACTGACAGTTAAACATTGAAACCACGGGCCCCTTGCCAGAAACAAGATTAGTCTTAACATTAGTCCTAACATTAACTCAACATAAGCTAGGGCAGCATGCTAGTCGCAAGTCATGTAAGACAGATGGACGTACCTTCTGCGCACCGGCGAATGCGTGGTAGTAGCAGGAGACGTACGTCATGACAGCTCTCTCATCTGGCTTCACCGTGTTAACCATGTCTGTGAAAACGAAACACATATCGCACAACTGCTATCACGTGCGTTTCACTGGCCATCTATTATATCTACTGTAACTCAAATGCACACACCAAATAGAATGCGTTACTAACTACTCTTCAATTGGTCATTTCCCGAATAAACTGATAAATTAATAAATGTAAACAAACTTATACTCATCTGTCAGCGTATATATTATTACTGATTACTTCAACATAAAAATTACTACAAATCCGTGCTGTTGTAAGCTGTAAAACAGTAAATAAACAGCAAACTTGCACCTGCTTTCTTGATTTCCGCGAAAACAAGATATGCAAACGCTGTCACAAAACAGTGCATGTATTTATGTGATGTAAATTTTTCTAGACTGGTACCTATCCTGACATGAAGGCAAAGGTAACCTAATGTAAAGACAGGGTTCGGTCAATGACATCTTGTGTGAGCGAGTATCACACGCTAATGTTGACATATTTCAACAAATCTAATTTGAAATGCAGATCGGCACACGTCTTTGTGAAAAGAATGATGTGCGAGCATTCTACATAAACTACTACTATACTTACTATATATGCCTTACTATATAAACTTGGTATTACACAAGGAGTACTGGCATGTCTCAGAACGGTCGAGAAAATGTAAGAACAATTAGAACAAGTGAAATCATTGCTTTAGGTGGAAGAATAACTCCTATTAGGCACCTAAATGAGTTAATAAGACATGACAAATATGCATTCTAAAGACGCACCCTTCCCCCCTACCTAACGGTGTGATAAAGCGCAGGTTATCTACCACTCCCTTCTTTATGCTGGTGCATAAGCAATAGTCAGTTATTTAGACCTACCTACAGGTGCCACTAGTTGTAATTCTTTTTCATATCATTATCCGTTATCACTATCATTATCTGTTATACATTGCTTCTATGCAATATTGAACCACGCTGATATGAGTAATACACAGATTTGTAAGAGCTGTATTTTGAACACCTGCCAGTTTCACTGTATCATATGCCTATATATTCTCCGGAGTGATATAAGTGGTAATCTCTCTTTAAAAAATGCAGAATTATTTTTTCCAATATAAAGTGTTATAAAACATAGGTAAGCATGACTTTATTATAGCTTATACTGACAGAATCCCAAATAAATGCACATACCTTCGGCATCTAACATTTTCGGAATGTCCAAATGCTCATCAGCAATATCGAATGCCAGGTTTAGATTTTCATAAGGCTGATCCTGTTGGTCAAAAAAATATAGAAAACATCGCTAACAATACGTAAGACTCGAGTAATGAAATGTACACGAATTTTCAACCCTGTACAAATTAATGAAAACATGTCTAACTATCACGAAGCTGCTTATTGCATGTACAGTATCTCAACAATTGCGCATATACAAATATTATATCGGCATTAAGTGCAGTATGACTTGCTAAGCATGCGATTTAAAAACACCATACATATCTGGCCAATGACATGCATATTCGCGATAATGACCCAACTGAGTACACAATATACTGTGCCATCATCAAAACACATATCTCTTTAGTACTGATATAGGTGCTGGCCTCGTGCTACACTGTACTTTGATTCACGCAGTGAGTCTACTCAGGTAATTCCATCGTAAGATCGTAAAATGTGACAGTAGGAAAATGCAGAGAGCTAATTGGTGCTGCATGTGTTTGGCACGTAATGTCGGAATACTCACTCCGCCAAAGTCGATTTATGTCCACGCCGGTGGATGAAAGGTGAACACATTACTAGAGACCACACATAATAACATGAGGAAATCTGCCGCTTCCTTTCTACCAGTGTTAACTAGCAGATTCCTATTATTTAAGTATTGTTTGATATCATCGTTTTATATATAAATGGTAGCAAAGCAAGCATAACCAATTCTAGAATAGCTTCAAATAGACCGATGTACTTTGATAATATGCCTGTTAATGTAGTCGAGTCCATTCTGTGAAATTTTGGTTCGTCTACAATACAACAAATAATGGTTCAACATTGACTGGGTTGTTCAGGGACTCTAGAAAATGGTTAATTGCATAAAGAAGGGGTGCAGAGAGATTATAGATGTGCCATTGATTGTGCTTCTTCTATCATTGGCAATTGATATAATTAAATAGAAGAACGAAAGTAATCAAGTGATTAGAATTTTTTTACCCGGTTTGAGTGTACAAAATATAATGGTAACGCTATTGTGCATATATGTTAAATATACATTTCCCTTCAAGCAAAAGACCCACAAATTTCTTAATAGCTATACCAACCATTCCTTTAACATATCGGAAATCTGTCGTGTGATACTCTTATATGTTTAAACTCAGCTGGAGTATTTCCTGGACCTATTATATACCTAATATTAACGACCTTTCCTTGTTTAGATATTATAACAATGCCAATCTTATAAGAGTCTTCATTCCATGAAATAGAACTGAAGACTGAATACCAATCATGACAGCTCATTTCCCACGGCCTCTTAATATGGTCAAATGACAAACAACTGTCACGTGTTTTTCCCATAATTGGGGAGCTTTTTTGTATAGACACACATCATATGACAGTGCCTATAAACACAGGGTGAACACTACAAAGGTAGCATTAAGAGAGGTAGTAGGATTAGAAGAGACTGTTGTTCCATTCTTGAACAGTTCTTCTATGACCTACACCAGAGCTCCACTGTTTGTTCGTTCTAAGAATGGGCATTTCTCGTTTCTTTCGATGTGATAAAAAATGCTGACACCAATTATTATTAGATATCCTGGCAAGTCTACAAAATTTAGTCTGTGCACTGACCCTACAAGAAGATGGCTCTTCTTAGTCTTATCATGGCCATAAATCCGAAGTGCCATTTTTGTATGAGCTAGTCCACTGAACTTAAGGAAAATGACGTTTTAACCCTCTGGCCCCTGATATTTGATATTGCAGTCTTGGCATGATGATGAAGCTTTGTATTTATAATTTTCATATATATATATATATATTATCATATTGTGAATATGAAAATCAGTACCAAACCCATTGCATTTGCAGCACCCAAAGATTTGCAGCACTATTGCTGATGGTTCCATAAAAGGTGCTATCATTCTGCAAGCTTCACCTTACTATATAATATAAACCAAAACATGAAAGCTAACCATTTTTTTAGACAGGTTAGTGGTAATGACAGTGCGTAAATGTGTTACTTCCCACCACCGCGACGTTATTAGTCAACCACTAAAAACAATCATGCAAGGACAGCGTACCCGAGACAGAGAACCATAGTCAATGAGCTCAGGCCGGTGTCTGTGGATAAGTGCACAGAGAGCCAGGCCATTCCTCCAACTATAAAAACAAATCAAATCAAAATAAAATAAATGGCAGAACTAAACGGGAAGGACAAGTAAGATTGTGACCAGAGGCGAAGTGTGCATCCACAGACTGAAAAAAATATATAAATAAATGTTAGGACTGTTAATAAGCCTGCACCAAGAGTAGGAAACAGAGCAGAATGAGCATAATGGGGAAATCTGGGAGGGTCAACCTGTGCACAAGATACCACAATACCTTTCTCAGCTCTTGGTACTCAATGAGATCTGGCCTATGCCGATGTATTAGGGCACAGAATGCCAATCCATCCTTGAAACTGTCAGAGCACAGACAAAAATGTTTAAACACTCATTTCTCCATATAAGCAGCAGTAATGACACTTATCTCTGTAAATATTACTACTGTACATAAGTAAAACATGACCACTGATACACATCCGCGCACACACATGCTGACATGCACGCACGCAGACACACCTTCATACACGCACACACATGTACGCACGCACGCACGCACGCACGCACGCACGCACGCACGCACGCACACAGACACACACACACACACACTGCACTGTACAGCATATGCTGGTACGATTTACATTAACAGTATACCACACAAAATAATAACTTTCATAAACAATTGAGGAAGGAATTTCAATTGTTTTACATTCCGTGATGATGTGTACAGGCATTCAGTATGGCCGGAAATACCAGACCATAGCCGACCTCACTGCTCACCTCATGTGAAAGTTTTGCACATTTACATTCTTGTAAGGTGCTGTTTTCCTCTGACACCACAACAACAACCCCTCTTTTGCCGTCGACTCTGTAAAATTCAAGTACAGAGTCAAAATGAAGATGCTCATAACCAGAAACGTGGTAATGCCCGGGTAAGCTACTACCACTCCCCCAACGCGGTTATTAACGGAGAGGGTGACTTATGTCAAACTCAATGAAACTAAATGCGTTATATAAATAGATTTTAACAGATTAGTTCAGACTGCTGGCAATCATCTCTGTCAATCGTTACTTTTCACTTTTACTGCTAAAAAAACAACTTCAGCCAAGGGTATGTGATAACTCCTACAGCGCTTACAGTTACACCCCTAAAATTGGTCCAAAACCATAACTACTTGTTTTTCCTTTCACGGCAAGATAGATATATACTAAACGGAACATTGCACGTGCCAAAGGGTGTAAAAGCACAAGTTACTGCAGTGGAAATCTTCTGACATGTATAGATTCTCTACAAAACATAGTATAACATAGCAGCTTCCATGTGAGGTTGTGAGTGGGCTTACCTTCAATGCTAATATCCTGGATAGTAAACCTGAGTATAATTGTCCAGATGAGGCCCAGCGTCATCTTAACATTGCCATCCACAATTTCTGAAAATATTATGAAGCAATAAAGAGGTCATGCAGAATGCTTTCTTCACATCACCATAACTTCGGAAAGCATGAATAAATAATGTATTAACCGACATACAGCTTCTCTTAATACTCATGAGGAATAGTAATGAACCCTTTAAAGCAACTAGATTTCTTGGAATTAATCGCTATTACATAACCTTACTCGTGGATATTATATGTTCTTTATTAGTTTCCTTATGATTAGAGTAATACTGTAGTTGTTAAATAAGGTTCTCCCTAAGAGAATTTCAGAAGGCGTGTTGTTTATGGACGAAACAGGGAAGGGTCTGGATATGAACACATCGATTCAAAAAATTAATAACCTTCTACATGTCATTTTTTGCCCATTTATTTTCACCTAATAAACAGAAAAAATATGAAAAGGAAAAAAAATAAAAACATATATAAATTACGGCATGTGCATTAGCCATAAATTTTCCAATTGAAGTTTAATTGTCAGAGGAATTATGGGATGTCACAAATTAGCTTCAGTTTTGAGGGCACGCCGAATCCGGCATGCGTTAAAGTTATGAAGAGGACCCTGGATAAGTGTACAACAAAATGCATGATAATGTTCTGAGTAAAGGGTGTTTTCAACACAATAGCAATACTGCTCCACAGAAATGCCACTGACCTTCTGCACCTATGGAGACCAACTTTACTCCTTTACTTGCGATGAAATGTAAGGCTTTATTAACATTCGCAATCTTATGAAATCTCATCTTTCCTTTTTCTGGTTTGGGCAACTGTTCACCTAGGCACAAAGAGATCAAAACAATGTGATAAACACAAACGGCAATTCATTGCAACTAAACATTTTAGGTCACAAATTGTACTGATGAATGCAGCAGAAATAAGTATTTAAAGTTATTATCTAAAGTCTACATAGATAACTATCATCTCAGTGCACATACGTACTGTATATTTTAATAAATGGCAATCTAAGGCCATATAGTCTAACCCATACATTCTTATCATGTAGGTGAACATGCCATTGCCTGTGTAACTGTAACAGTTCAGTGACTTTAAGAATTAGTCACCAGCTATCCATTTCAATGATGTCCCAGCCCTACTCGTGTGTTTGAGAAACCTTAACATCATGGTTAACTGGCCAGCGATTAAATTATAGTCCCGTAATTAGGTATATTATGCTTTATCCCACTATTACTAGAACTCGTATTTCCACTCGTATTAAATTGGATTAGGTACACATAAAATAAGAGAAATATGAAAGGCACGTAGCTACACTTAGTCGAAGCCTTGACCTGGCCGGACAGCGGCCACCATCTTGCCTAGTAAATAAATAACGTAGGCAATGACCGTAGCTTGCAGGACCTCTCCCCTCTCTCTCAGGGGGGGGGGAGGAGTAAAATATTGATGGTCTCCGTGAGCAATCGCTTCACACCTGATATCACCTCCAGCAGCAGCATCAGCTTCAGACCATTGCAGAAGTCCTGGCCGATATCTTCGATGCTCGTGCCAGTTTTCCGCAGGTGTGAGTTGCACCATGCTGTGAACGTCTGCAACGATACAGAACAAGCAGTTAGTTAGATGTTGTCCGCACACATGGAGATCAAGCTTCCACCATCCAATAATGTGTACAGAACATGAGGCTGCTTACTTGTATATATTTTTATGCAAGTATTATAGAGTGGGAAGAAGGTAGGGAGGGAGGGAAGCAAGGGAGGGAGGCAGCACGGGTGGCAGGGCATGGAGGGATGAATGCAGGAGGAAGAGGGGTCAGAAGAGATACATGTTTACTAAGCAGATACTAATATATATTATAACTTTATAAGTAAACAAGCGATCACAATTTACACAAGATCGTAGAACAAACAGGCGCACACAATTTAACCAAATTAACGTGTCACCATGATTATTTGCTCTCATTAAAACCATTCTAAGTTGTTGCCTTCCACTGTGTGCAATCTTTGTTGCAGTCATGTTATTCTTGTTGTACAAGAGGGGTGACTGACACCGCGAACGCGTGTCACAGGCACAGCAGTAGTTATGTAAACAATTACTGCAAGTCTACTCAGACCCACAGGCATGCAAAATGAAAGCTGTTGAACAATAAACCATTCTCCCTTTCCAAAAGTCAACATTAATTCAATTATTGATGTCAAAATTGCTCATTTATATTTTAGAATTTGTTGCATATATGTCAACTAGGCACAAAAAAACAGGTACTTATTGTATACATGTATAAATGCTAAACAAATCATGGAACTGTTGTTTGGTAACAGTCACTCAAACTTGCCTACGACTTTTCATCAAAGAACCAGTGTTTTTACGAGTAGCCAGCAGTTTACATGACGGATAAAAAACAAGAATGCCATATTGCAAAGATTGGAAACACACAGAAGTGCTACTATAATATACACACAAACTTGTTGAACTGTCGCCTCTCTCCCTCCCGTATATCACACAGCTGAAACAGTACACGACTACTCGTGCTACGAACATTGAAAGACGCAATCGTTACAAATGGCCCAAATATGAGTTTTCTGTCCCTTGAATTTTTTTTTCCGCAAAACTATACATGACGATGACAAAAAACAGGTATAATGTTAATATAGGAATGTGTTCCACAAATTTATACTGCACACCTATATTATGCTATCAAGAGCTAATAATACCTAAGAGGTATTATTAGCTCTTGATGCTATATATATATATCATAGAACACCTGACACTATATATGACTGGCAGCACAGAGCATAGCACATTCATAAACCAACTAAAACATTTCCCCAAGTAGCTCCAGCCCACAAGTAATAAAGCGCTGGTCTGTCATAAAAGAGGCATTATAAAGTTTTACCAGTGATACGTGCTTTGGAGAGAGACAACAGATTATATATGGGGAGGTCATTGGTACACCACTCTATACCCGTTTCCTGCGGTTTTAATTGGAGCTGTGATTTTTTATTTGCACCTATCTCTCTCAGTATACTGTACATGGTTGTCAGATTTAATCACGCAGAACATGAACAAAGAAATAGCAGGATGAAATGTTGCCCGAACAACAAGCAACACTGAGAGTCATTTCAGCTTCCAAACAATGACAATCTACACATAAAACATTTCACAGGAAAAAATACTGCATTCTTACCCGAAATACCAAAAGGTATACTGCGAGAAACGTGTGCACGTGCTTCGTTTTTTTAATGTTTGAATTAATGACATCTAACGAAGTACTGCATGACACATCCTTGCCCATCAATCACACAGATGAGCTTGGGTCTATGTATGATCTGAATGATAAACATGTAACAAACCATGACCTATCACCGCGTAAGACTATAATGCCTACAGTGCTTCCAGAATAGTAATGTAACGAAATGCAATACATGTGTTCCCCCTGCATTGACACGAGCGAGGTGGGCCGGCCTTTTTGGCCAGGGGAAACGCTACATGAGATCATGGATAATTAAATGTATTACATGGTCCCACTCAGGCCATAATAAAAATATTGTTTGTTTGCCCTCACCCGACCGACCCGCCAAAAAGGAGCCAAGAATTAAAAAAATTATTGATCCTTCGGTTCCCATTCTTTTTTTTTACAAATTGTATCACTGTACATTATATAAATCTGTAGACAATACATTACATGTAGCAAGCAAAACAAACATTCAACATAAAAGGTATCTCCACACAAGCACACCTGAGCATGTAGACACCATGCTGAATTTGTAAAAAGACTCCCTCAAAAAAGCCTACCTACCTAGCCAAACTTTTCAGCCTGAGTCAGATGAGGGTAAACAAATATTTTTTTTAATTGTGGACTCAGGTAGGGAGCAAAACTCACTACAAACAATCACCGATCCGCCCTCACAGCAACCACAGCAATGCAGAAACAACTTGTCCGGCCAGGTGTACTAATGACATTTTTTAATCAATGACACTAAACTCTAGATAGTCAACTAG